TGATTTTTTTAAAAAATATTTATTTATCGGGGCGCCTGGGTGGCGCAGTCGGTTAGGCGTCCGACTTCAGCCAGGTCACGATCTCGCAGTCCGTGAGTTCGAGCCCCGCGTCAGGCTCTGGGCTGATGGCTCAGAGCCTGGAGCCTGTTTCCGATTCTGTGTCTCCCTCTCTCTCTGCCCCTCCCCCGTTCATGCTCTGTCTCTCTCTGTCCCAAAAATAAATAAAAAAAAACGTGGAAAAAAAATATTTATTTATCTTTGAGAGAGAGAGCACGAGCAGGGGAGGGGCAGAGAGAGAAGGAGGCACAGAATCCGAAGCAGGCTCCAGGCTCCCAGCTGTCAGCACAGAGCCCGACACGGGGCTGGAACCCACGACCTGTGAGATCATGACCTGAGCTGAAGTCAGACGCTTAACTGACTGAACCACCCAGGCGGCCCGGCATATGTTATTTTTGAAAAAGAACTTTACATGCTTAGTGGAGATCACGTCGCCAATGCCTCAAGACGGGAAACCTCTGGCCTGTCTTTTCAGGGGTGTGAAAATCGGGGGACAGCAGGGTGTAGCCACTGACCTCCTTCTCACCAGGTGCTCCAGACCCTGGGGCACTTGAGGGGTTTGCAGAATCTAAGAAATGAGTGTGCATCCGTGATGTTTTCATACCAAGGGTCAAACAAGCCAAAAAAATAATAATAATAATAATAAAAACAATTGAAAATCATTTTTTTCAATTCACCTAGGATTAGAATACACTGGGATTAGAAAGCATCATACAGTTCATTTGGTCAAAACTGTATTTTATGTAGGCAAAGAAATGGCACCAGAAAGATGACTCATTGGTTAGTAACGGGACCCAATTCTGCTGATACAGGGCAGCCCGCTGGAATAATGTCTTTCGTGTGCATTTATTATATTCTACGGCTAATAATCTCACCTGAGATTTTCCAGGTTCTCCAAGGAGGTGAGAAAGGTGTTGTGTCCTCCAGATAACAGAGTTTTAAAAACATTAAGTGACTTGCCTCAAATCTCACAGCTGATCACTTGTTACACCCCTGTTTAAAATTATTCCAGGGGCACCTGAGTGGCTCAGTCTGTTAAGTCTCCAACTTTGGCTCCGGTCATGATCTCACGGTTAGCTCGTGGGTTCAAGCCCCGAGTGGGGCCTTGTGCTGACAGCTCTGAGCCTGGAGCCTGCATCGGATTCTGTGTCTCCCTCTCTCTCTCTCTCAAAAATAAATAAATATTAAAGTAAATAAATAAGGAAATAAGGAAATAAATAAATAAACTATTCCCTGGTTCACCATACATTTTAAGACAAAGTGCTTCCTGGCCCCACCCTCTCACTGGTCCACCCTCTCAATGGCCCCACCCCTTCCCTGGCCCCACCCTCTCAATGGCCCCACCCCTTCCCTGGCCCCACCTCTCAATGGCCCCACCCCTTCCCTGGCCCCAACCTCTCAATGGCCCCACCTCTCAATAGCCCCACCCTCTCAATGGCCCCACCCTTTGCTTGGCCCCACCCTCTCACTGGCCCTGCCTTCAAGGACTCTCCGGTCCTTCATATACTTGTAGCCCAGCCCCTCTCAGCTCTGGTGGGGTTTCCCGCCTGGTGCCCATCTGTACCTGCCCTGCTCCCAATGGCATGCCCTGCCATGCAGAGGCACCTGGGGCAAAGAGTCCTGCAGAGCAGGGGGTCATAGCTGGGGTCATAGCTGGGGACACTGGCTGTGCTGGGTGAGTCTTGGGGCCCCCTGGGAGCCAGCTCCCTCCCCTGCGGAAGGGAAGCCGGGACTAGCCCACCTCGAGGGCTGACTCCTACACATCCACCCTCTAGCGCTGACACCAGATCCACAGCACTGTTCAGCCGCACGGCACCCAAGGCCCCAAAGCCTTCTCGGCTCACCCCTTCCCCCCAACTTCCTTTTACTCCTTTTTTTCTAATAGCATGTCAACTGACACTAAAACTGGGTTCCGGGGGAAAAATCATTTCCCATTATCAGTACTGTTTAAAGCTTAAGAGTATTTCATGAAAGTTCTTTTCAATGAAGAAATTTTCTTTTTTGTTTTAAATGTTTTATTTATTCTTGAGAGAGAGAGACAGAGCACAAGCAGCGGGGGGAGGGAGGCGGGCAGAGGGAGGGAAACACAGAATCTGAAGCAGGATCCAGGCTCCGGGCTGTCAGCACAGAGCCCGAGGAGGGGCTCGAACCCAAGACCTGTGAGATCATGACCGGAGCTGAAATCCAACACTCAACCTACTGAGCCACCCAGGCGCCCCAGAAATTTTATTTTCTTGAGTGAAGATGGCGAATGAATGAATGAGTGAAAAATATAAATGCGTCCTTTGGAACTTAGTTGAAATGGATGCATTCCTTAACTGATATCCTTAACTCCCTTGTTATTCGGTGACACAATATCTAGTAATTTTGCCCATCACAACTGTAACTAAATAATTATGCCTGCAACTATTTACATCCACCTATCCAGCTAGAATATAAACTCCATTTCTCTTCTGATTGTTTTATCCGGAGCCCCTAGTACAGTGGGTGACACAGCGCAGAGCCTCAAGAAGTGTTTGTTGGATGAACAAACAGCCAATCTCATCGTGGCTCTCCAGTGGGGCTGGTCTGCGGGCCAACCGTAGAGGCCTCCGCTGGGAATTTTGAGGCATGCGAATTCCGGGGCCTCATTGTAGCCTTATTGAGTCAGAATTGTCGGGGGTGGGGTAGCCCAGCAATCTGTGTTCCGAGAAGGCCTCCACGTGACTCTGATGGCTTACACAAGGGTTCTGGTGAAATAGGTTAAGGCTTAGCACAAGACCCTATCCCATCAGGGATCTGAACAATAGGCAGGGGAAACACAAAGGAACGTAAACTTTGGCAAACCCAGAGGGAAGGAGAGAGGGGGTAAGTGCCTGGCGAAGGCTGGGGCTGCCTGGGCACAAAGGACCCTCCCCCTGCCCCCACAGCATTCATTTGAGGACGAAACCTGGGCCCCAACAAGCTAATAGTGTTGAGGCGGGAGACTGTCCCCATGCACGTGACTCATGTCCTAGCCTCAGAACGTCTGTTTGTAGGACTAACAGAGTGTGGTGGGTCCGGATATGTGAGCCGTTCATGGGAAGGACTGCTGAGCACTGAAAAAGTATCCTGGAATTTGCTTTCTTCAGTCTGAGAAATAAGGCACCGCTTTTGAGTATAAGTCGGCTATAAGGATGACTGTTACTAATTTAAAATGTTTCCTCCCTCGGGCACCCGGCTCAATTAATTAAGTGTCTGACTTCAGCTCAGGTCATGATCTCACGGTTTATGGGTTTCAGTCTCACTTTGGGCTCTGTGCTGACAGCTCAGAGCCTGGAGCCTGCTTCGGGTTCTGTGTCTTCCTCTCTCTCTGCCCCTCCCCTGCTTGTGCTCTGTCTCTCTCTCAAAAATAAATAAACATCAAAGAAATAAAATGTTTCCTCCCTCAACAGCTATTAGGTGGCTCCCCCAAGTCCTGCCTAGTGGTCTGGGGACTCCTGGGGCAAGATCGTCCACATTGGTTCCATATTCTCTTTTTCCAGAGTTAGTTATCTTTAAAAATTATTTAGAAATTTTGACTTACAAATTACACATTTTACGATGCTTACAATTATTTAGGACTCGTACGAGTATGAAAGAGTGAACGGAGGGCTGCCTGGGTGGCTCAGTCGGTTACGTGTCCAACTTTGGCTCAGGTCATGATCTCATGGTTCGTGGGCTCGAGCCCCGCGTCAGGCTCTGGGCTGACAGCTCGGAGCCTGGAGCCTGCTTCGGATTCTTTGTATCCCTCCCTCTCTGCCCCTCCCCTGCTTGTGGTCTCTCTCTCTGTCTCTGTCTCTCTCTCTCAAAAATAAATAAACATTACAATAATTAAAAAAAAAAAAAAAAAAGACAAGTGCTTGACCATAGCTGGGCATTGTTGAGTCCACCAAATCCTAAGTTTATAGCAGCAATATGTCATAGCATGGAGGTGGTAAGCTGAGATCAGAGAAGGGGACTTCTCAAGGAAGGTACATGAATAGGGGGTCAAGACTCCCACATCACCAACTGCTGTGTAGCCTCCATCTTTGCTCATGATTATGACCTTGCGGGTCTTCCCGACAGCCCACTAGGTGGGAGAGAGAATTTAAAACGGGATTGGGGCGCCTGGGTGGCGCAGTCGGT